CCCCAACGAAATAGTTTCGTAATAGAACCGTAGCATCACTCTAAAGTTATATAGTTTCATTCTAGAAGACCCACGTTATTTGTCCAAACACTATGGCTAATTTTAGGTTCAATAAATCAATTTGGGTTCAACTTGTGGTCATAACTCATAATCAAGTCTACTAGCTGTGTAGTGGGATTTTGTATTTTCACATTTAAATTCAAACTAAATTCGATATTTTCTTAATAAAGTGTCACGTAGTAGTATTATGAGGAGCAAAATCGTGTTTTCCTATTATCTATTATTCATAAATTTGGTCACAAATATGGAAGAAAAATAAACATTTTATTGTTTTATTTTAATTTTTTTCCGTACTTTTCTTGGTCTAATTTTTTGAATCATTTCGTATTATGTCTATAATATTTTTTTAATTAGTAGCTCACAAGGTATTCGGAACTATACCCGACTAATCCGACTATTTGTCTCTATAATGATGATATATTTTTTTTCAATGTTAGATGGTGAAAGTTGATAACGAGAAAAATGTCGTACTTGCCTACACATTTATTGCCACCCACTTGCTAATTATTTGGCAATGCATGTGTACTACTTTTTTTCTATTTTAAATAAAAGAAAAAAAAAATGTGCTAAATGAATAGTGACAATTATGATAGGGTAGCCCATATTGTATTGCAAGATGTGAAATAATGAATAGCAATGGGTGATAAGTTTGTGGATAATATTAGTTTGTTTGATTACCTAAAATACAAAATATTCCATTGATAAAAATAATATTGTTATTCAACCAAATTGTTAGATGGATAACTTATCATATATTTGTTTATATTTTTAAAATATTATATAACATTTGAAGTATTAAAATTGTATATATCTATATACATGATTAATTGATTATTTGGATAACTTATAACATGAAAAAGGTTAAAATTGATCAATATAATAATTTTTGCATATAAAAATAGTTTTATATGTAATTTCGGCTATCCTATTAACGTAAAAAAAATGCACATTTTCTTTTCAACTAATAGTGGAAACAAATTGTTATAATTTACATTAATTAAGTGTAATTATATTTTTTAATTATTGTATTAAATAATAATTACAACTAATACTAACTGATTACAAATTTACATTAAAAGTTACAAGGATATTTCATACTTATCAAAACTTCTATTGCAAAAATTTTACTTCAAACTATATAGTTAACTTTTTTATTTTGCATTTCATGAGCTATATTTTTTAAGGAAAAAAATTAGAATTAACTAATTGCGACAGCTTAAAATAGTGTAAATAATTACTATAATAATAATAATAATAATAATTATAATAATAATAATAATAATAATAATAAATCAATTAATTAATTAGTCATTATCCCTTAAAATTAAAGATATAAGTTATTTTTTTTTTTTTTGGTACAAAAGATATAAGTTATTCATTGCATTTTAGGCAATTGTATAACGATTTATATGTAAATAAAATAATTTAAATTTATATTATTTATATGACGGTCAACTTTATAAAATAGACTATGCACGATATCGAAGTTATAAAATTTTTTAAAATTTATATGTAGATACACTTTATAACTAGTACGAACCCTGTGCGATGCACGGGTAAGCGATATTGATTAATATTTATAAATTAAAAATTTTATTGTTATCTGAAATTTAAATTGTGCAAAAATCACATAAAACATGTTTATTTAAAATTATTTCATGACCCGACAATGAAACGCAGCTTGAGTGGTAAGACGTTTCACCTATGACCAATAGGTCATGAGTTCGAGTAACTGAGTAGGGGGACTGAGAACACTCCTCCTTAAGAAGAAAAAAAAAAGATAAGAGGAAAATAAAATTAGTATACAACCCCTACGGTGTATGTAATTGATAATAAAATACATTATATTCATTTCAAAATAAGTGTTATTTTAAATTTTTATTTAAAAATTCAATTGACTACAATGTGATTCCATAAAATAATTACTTGGATAAATTTTATCATATATTTAAAAATTAATATTTATATGAGTAATAAGTATAAGTCACATTAGCTAACAAAATTGAATCTTTTACCATAAAACATAAATACAAATTCTTAATTACCCACGTGAGAGACGGATGAAATATGACAAAAAATGCACATGAAATCACAGTAACTATAAAAATTGAATATTTTTTACAATGTTTTTCCATTTTAATGAATAAAAAAATTCAAAAAATTGAATCTTTTACAATGCTTTTTCATCATATACGCTTACAGCACCTTTTCCTACGCTTTTCCCGCCACTTCCACTCTCCGTCCAACTCATACACGCCATACTCGAGTCTGTCACTGTGGGTAGACTGAACAAGAAGAAGGAGAAGGAGATGTTGTGGGTGGATAAGTATCGTCCCAAAACCCTAGAAAAGGTTCTTGTACACGAAGATATAGCTCAAAATCTCAAGAAATTGGTAATTTTGCTGCAAACCCAAATTTAAATTGTTCTTTTTTTGTGTGTTTTGAGGATAAGGGATTTGAAATCAATTCGATTTTACTGGATTGATTTTAATATGGCGGTTTGTTGCATAGGTGACAGAGCAAGATTGTCCGCATTTGCTGTTCTATGGGCCGTCTGGCTCGGGTAAGAAAACCCTAATAATGGCCCTTCTCAGACAAATTTATGGTCCCAGCGCTGATAAGGTGAGAGATTGTTAGCTAGCTTCCGAAGTCACTTTTATTGATTGTTCTTTAAGGTTTTGTTTGATAGTTTGCAATTTTTGAGGTAAGCAAACATCCAGTAAATTGTGCGAGTAAGGTAGTCATCCTCCGTGATTTGATCTGCAAAAGCAAAGAAAAAAAATATGATCTTTTTGGTTACTAATTTTCTTGGTTGTTCAAAATAAAATTGGATTTTTTTTGTTGTATTTAAGACCCAAACCAACTATAACTATGTATAATTAGGTAAAGTATGAATTGACCCTCAATTTCATTGATGATGAGTGAGAAGTGTAAATTTTGATATGGAGTTCATAAAGTGAGGTTGCTCTCTGTTCAGTTTGAATGAGGTTATTCTGATGTGACTCTGTAAATGTTACTTTGCAGGTGAAAGTGGAAAACAAGAACTGGAAAGTTGACGTGAGTTCTCCATTCTGCAATTTTCTTATGAGATAATTGTTGTTTGATGTAATTAAGAACCACAGATTTGCGGTATTGGTAGATCGTTTGAAACATTTTAACTTGAGTAGATCTTGAACATTTTGTTTCCCAGGCTGGGAGTAGAACAATTGATGTAGAACTCACAACTTTGTCAAGCACGCACCATGTTGAGCTGAGCCCTAGTGATGCAGGATTTCAAGACCGCTATGTGGTTCAAGAGATAATCAAGGAAATGGCAAAAAACCGACCGATTGACACTAAGGGAAAGAAGGGATTTAAAGGTACCTGTAGCTTTCACCTCATCATATTTTGGTAATTCCCAGCTGTTTCTTTTATGCTTTCTATTTTTTTTGAGTTAGAAAATCAAAACTTGTGGATTGTAATATTGTTTCAACTTTAGATTCTTGTTTGCTGTTTGTAGTTTTTAGTTTTTCCCCTTCTTTTTCCTTTTTTTTTTTATTTTTTTATTTTTATTTTTTATTTTCTGTAAGAACACTTGTTATGTTACTTTATCTGTAAGTAGATATGATAATAACAGAAGAAGATCAATAAGAAGCCTTCTACGATTCCCCCAATTTAGTTCCTGAAATAATTGTATTATTGAGTTCAGTAATTTATCTGTGCTGATGACGTGGCATGTGGAAATCAGTTCTGGTGCTGAATGAGGTTGACAAACTCTCAAGGGAAGCCCAACACTCCCTCCGAAGGACAATGGAGAAATACAGTTCATCTTGTCGACTCATTCTATGCTGCAACAGCTCCTCCAAAGTTACTGAAGCCATTCGCTCTCGTTGTCTGAATATGAGAATCAATGCGCCAACAGATGGAGAGGCCAGTATATTTTATAATATTATCTTCAATATATATAATATATTATATATTATTTCAGATAATGAACTTGTGTGCACGTCTCATGCTATGATATTTCATGCTTTATGTTTTTAACGATGGAGATTACCAATTTTTTGACGAATGTGATGATATATGTTTTTAAATACCAGATTGTGAAGGTGTTGGAATTCATCGGGAAGAAAGAAGGGTTGCAACTTCCATCTGGATTTGCTGATCGAATTGCTCAGCAATCTAATCGGAGCCTGAGGAGGGCAATATTGTCACTTGAAGCTTGTCGCGTCCAACAGTTGGGTCTTTGTTTCACATTTTATTGTTAATTAGAAGCTGCAGTGATTTTTTTTCCTGCTCCAGGCATTCTTTTGCTTTAATTAAACATGGTTATGTCCTGATGCTGTTTTGTTAATTTAGGTACCCTTTCACTGCCAATCAACCCATACCCCCAATGGATTGGGAGGAATATGTTTCTGAAATAGCATCAAGTATACTGAAGGAGCAGAGTCCTAAAAGGTTTGATATTAATGATGCAGTTTCGTAACCTTGTTCGTTATAACGTTGTACTACTGTCATCAACACTAAGTCTGAAAAATCATACATTGATTTTCTAGGTTGTTTGAGGTGAGGGGAAAGGTTTATGAGCTACTAGTCAATTGCATTCCTCCGGAAATCATTTTAAAGGTTTGCATCTATACTTTTCGAGTTCACTCACCCAAGTAGAAAGGCATAGCTGATGAATCCAATAACAAATACTTTTTTTTTTTTAAATCATTGCAGAGGCTGCTTTATGAACTGTTGAAGAAGTTGGATTCTGAGCTCAAGCATGAGATCTCTCATTGGGCTGCATATTACGTAAGTTTATGATTGTTCTTCTTGCTAGTTGGAAGACTATAATATGATAACTATAGTATTTGGGGTATTTGGACTGCCCATTTTGTTTTTGATTTTTTAGTCCATCATTATTACACAGATGCACGAGGCAAAAGAACCACACCATCTCTATTGATTCATTTCCCCATGATATTAATTTATTTTTTTTCCTCCAACTTTCATGTTCGATAAACTAGTTTAGCTTGTATTGGTAATTGGGTATGTATTTCTTTAGCAGAGGGTTGTGATTCTCCATGCTTGTCTGAAAAGCAAAATGCTCCTTCTGCTGGATATAATCATACTTCAATAATGTTCAATACATGTTGAGTCAGAATTAATTCTTCTTTTCATCAGTATAATATATCAAAACTATATGTTCATTTTTCTCAGGAACATAGGTTACGCCTTGGGCAGAAAGCAATATTTCACCTCGAAGGTATGTATTATCACGTTATCTTATCGAATTTCGTGTAATCACATGTTTGCAAGATTTTTCTGTCAATTATTGTATGGGGGAATCGTTTTACTAGGCAATAGACATCAATAACAGTTTTATCACCACATAGTATATAAATTTATGACATTTTCTTTGTTTCATATCATTGTTGTATAATAGAAAATATGCACAAAGTTTTACTTCAATTCTTTATGCTTATTGTACTCTTTATACAAACATTGCAGCAGTTCTGAAATTTTTTTATGCTTATTTATGCCTTCATACATATATTGCAGCATTCGTAGCCAAATTCATGAGTGTCTACAAAGGATTCCTCATCGAGACATTTGGCTGAATTGTGCGTGGAAATACAAATGGAGGGATTATTACTATATGCTTCTGAATCTATTCTGTTTGAGTTCGTCTAATTTTGTTTTGTTGAGTCACCTTTCTCGGTTGAGGCTTCTAAAATTTTTGATTTTCTGAGAATGCTGGTGATTTTTAATCTTTATATGGCTGTGAAGTGTGAAAACCAAATTGTTGGATGCATAGTTTTAAATAGCGAATGGTGAGATGAGGCGATTGGCCCATTGCCTCGCCACGAGGCGAGGCGAATCGCCATGGCGAGGCCTCGGAAACAAGCCGTCAAAGCTTATATATATATATACATTTAAGTTCAAGTACCAACAATTAACTTAAATAACCTAAAAAAGATAATATAAATTAAATTTAATTGTAAATACTAAAAGCATCTAAAACTTAAACGTGAATACTAGTAACATTACAAAGCAAAAATATTGAATTTACACTGAGTTGTAAACATAAAATAGAAAAAAGTTAAAGAAGGCAAATAAAAAGTGTGAAATAAAAGTAAATCAAAGAAAAGATGCTGCACTCTTTCACCTTTGACTATTGACCATACTAGTAAACATAAATAAAGTAAAAAATGAACAGAGAAGAAAAAGAGATGGTAAAAACGGGAACGGGTAAAAGAGAAAGGGAGAAGGAAAAGAAAAGAAAAGGCATACATCACCGACCGTCTTTCAAATCCAAGAAGCCTAGGGAGTTCTTTCGTATAAACCCTAGTTTGAGGAGAAGCCATTTAGAGATTTTTCACTGAAGTTTTTTTGCTTTCGATCTGTTTTAATTTTATTCTCTTTCCAAAAAGTGTCAGCTTTTCTTTTTTTTTTTCTTTTCTTTTCTTTTTTTTTGAATGGACTGCCACTTTAATTCCTCTAAAAGGCGTCGAGGCGCGCCTCACAGGCGCCTCTCGCCATGTGAAAAGGAAAGCCGAGGCAACCTGAAGTGGCCCTCGCCTCGGTCGCCTCGCCTCAAGGCGTCGCCATGGCGTCGCCATTTTAAACTATGGTTGGATGCACTCAGCATAATCATAGCAAAATCATCACAAAATGCTAATCCTTTTCAAAATGATCTGCCTAAAATTACTTGGGAACAAGGTGACTTTTGTATTACGAACAGAGATTTTGTAAAATTAAACAAATCAAGGGCATATTTGAATCTGTTAAATTGAACGGAGTGTATATGGAGTGCTCTCTGAATCTGTAAAATGTAATTATATTTATAATTTTAAAAAATTCATGTGAATTTTCTATTTTATTTCGTTAATTGTAACATACTGTAAATGAGATTGCTTTATATTTATAACCATCTATCTAAGCTACTACATCAAAAATCAATTACTATTTATTGGTAAGTTATAGTGTATGCAATTTTATCGCCATTTTTGTCGAAAACAATGGGGAGAAAATCCTAATGGTACAAGAGCAGGAGTTTTTTTTCCACAAAGAACATAATAGAAATCGAGTCCAAGTTAATGCCTGGGCAAGTTAGAATTGGAACTGCATTTCAGCCGAATATCCGAGCGCTTCAAGATGACCGGCCATGGCTTTGTTCATTGGTGGCGGACCACATCTCAGAATCTGAAAATAATGACCAGAATTATGAAACTCAATATGCTTAAAAGTTAAAACTCTCTTCAAAATTTTATTTATTTTTTTTCCCCACACTATTTACTGGGGAAAAAAAATTAGAATACTAGCTAAAAACTACCTGAATATCAGAAGCTGGTGCTGGGCAGTGAGCCTGAATCATTTCCTTCGACACAAAACCGACCCCACCATTCCAAACTTCCGGAGGCTGTAGAAAATCGGTCGAGCTCAACAAATTTTTCAGAAACTAAAGGTAAATGCAACAAAAAGAATGTGTACCAGATTCCAGGTTTTCTTTATTTTTTCTTAATATCCCAGAATGAAAAACTAACAGAATCGAAAAAAAAAAGTCACGAGACCAAAAAGACCTGTATACAAGCACTTGCCAATACTGATATAAAGTATGTTTCAGAAAAATAATACAACCATCAAATAATCTGGGGTAAATTGCGCCAAACCCCCCTGTATTATACGAAATCTGCGCGTTATCCCCCTGTATTTTAAAAATTGCGCCATACCCCTTTGTATTATACTTTTGATTGCGCGTTATCCCCTAAACCGTCTAACTTGACGGATGTGCATTTCACGCGCGTGTGGTGCGACTTTTTCTCCATTTTTTCGCCATAAACTCAGAGAAATGAATATTTTGCCCCTTAATACCTGAATTATATATATATACATTATTATATTTATATATATATATAGGGTTGGGTTCACATGAGAATGATGTTCAATGAAGGAAATAA